GCGAAATTCTCCAAGAATGGGTTTGTTTCTGAGCTTCCCGTTCTTTGTGGGGAAATAGTCTGATTTTGTGGTGTGAGCGGTTTCTCTTGTGGCACTTTCTCCTTTGGAGGCAACACTGGGGCTGAGGATTCTATAGTGGGTGGGGCCTTTTGTTCCACAGGAGCTGGTGCCTTGATAGTTTTTGATGCCTCGTAACTAGGTGGCAGCTGACGTGGTCTGATATAATTATAATCCCTGCTTGGTCTTTCGCTTGACTTTTTGGTAGTAAGTGGTGGCGTTTTGGATTTTGCGCTGGCGAGGTAGTCACCGAAGTTTCTAACATAAGCTGCCTCTGAGGTCTTGGCTGAACCGTTTGTTGCGCCATTGGATTGTTGCTTTTTGGCCGCTTCATCGGTGCTTCCTGTGAGTGAGCCTTCCCCAAAGGTTGAGTACCACCTTTCAAGACCTCCATTCAAATAGACCGGATACTGTTTAGGTCTCGAGCTGAGGTACTCTGATCTGTACATCAACAAATCAAGCATGTCTTTGAAAGGATTGTTCGATGGAATGCCCTTTGAATCATTATTCAAAAGCAGAAATTCTAACGCCTGAAACTTGTCGTTCCCTATGCCTCCGAACCGGAGGTTATAAGCCACGATGAGATCAAACTTATGTCTGTTTTGGAATAAACGGAGACTTTCAGCATCGAGGTTCAATGCATTTTCTAAATCCTTGTCGGTAGCTTGTGGCTTCTCCTGTAGCAAGGCAGCCACTTTAGAAGGCTCTATGTTCACAACGTTCAGGAAGTTGATATGGCTGTAAATGAACTCTTTTTTGCTCCTGAAGTCCAAAAGGAGAACATCGTCAGGTCTTGATCGTATGAGATGATTGAGTTCATATACCGATAGCGAGTCAGCGTACAAGAACCCTTGAAATGATGATGCTACTGGAGCTTTTGAGACCCCAGTTTTGAGGTTGGCGAATCTCATGAGAAGTGGGTCAGCAGACTCCGTCTCGTTATTGTCCTGGCCTGATATCTGACTTAGTTTCTGCTCAATTGCGACATATTTGGTCTGGTTAATTTGGATCTGATTGTTGATCTGCAGAGTTATCCCTTTCATTTCTTGTGTAGCAGACAGAGCAAGGTCTGATGCTAGATGAATGGCAGTTATATGAGCCACACAAGCCATAGAGAGATCACAGTATCCTAAAGCATCGAACCTCTTGCTTTCATACTTGAAGATCTCGAGTAAGGTGATCTGGAAGGCCACAAGATCTTTTATCTTGGAGGCTCCTTGTTGTAGATTCTCAGCAAGGCCCTTCAGAATTTGCCGCAGTTCCTTTAAAGAAAAGCTGGTTTGAGCATCGGGCTTGCTCATGACTGAATTTGAGGATGCAGTTGTCTATTAGTTATCTGTGGAGCTAGAATGTAGATAGATTTGTGCATATGTGCACCCGTGCACCACATAATATAGGCTGATTGATGAAGCTTTCAGATGACCAGAGCCAGAGGGGTGAATAGAGATGGGCTTCTTTGGAATTCTATTTAGCTTCGTAGCAAGCGCAAGACTATTTTCAGGAGTATCATGTTCGTATGAGAAAACAATAGTATAAATCTCACTTTGAGACAATATTTGCAGCCATTGTAAGCCACCACAAAAACTAATTCATTACAGAGAGCTTGAAACCTCCAAATATAAATGCATGTTCGCTAACAATGCAAAAATGAATCAAAATTATCCTAATTGCTGTGAGCATAAATCACCGAAACTGAGCTCACCATATACCTCTACCATATCGCGCTTTTTTTCAACTTCACCATCATCTCAACTATGGCGAACTCAGATTTCGACATCAAGCAAACCTACTTGAAGTTCTTGGAAGATGACCAGGATATGACAATGCCTATTGCGGCCATCGAGTCGCTAGTGACAATGCTCCGAGTGAAACAGCCCTCCACATCATCGGAGTTGATCAAGCTTGTCAAATCGAACATCGATATCTTGAAGCTGTCGATCTCCAATGCCATTTCGCTTTCGGCAGGTTGTGATCTTTTCATGCGTTTCGTCTTGAGAAACACAAACTTGTACTCTGACTGGGAGTCTTGCAAGAAGAACCTTGTGGAGAACGGTGAATTGTTCGTGCAGAGAGCCAAAGAGTCCAGAGAAAAGCTGGCTGACTTTGGTGTGCCTTTTATTAAAGACGACGACACCATCCTTGTGCATTCCTTCTCTCGTGTGGTCTTTCAGCTTTTACAAAAGGCTAGATCGCAGAAGTTGTTGAGATTCAAAGTCATCGTTACTGAAGCTCGTCCTTCAGGTAAGGGTTACCACATGGCCAAACTACTTAGAGAAGCTGATATTCCTGTGGAGGTGATTGTGGATAGTGCTGTTGGCTATGTGCTCCACAAAGTCGACAAGATTCTTGTCGGTGCAGAAGGTGTCGCTGAGAGTGGTGGTATCATCAACCACATTGGCTCGTACCAGATTGGCTGCTTGGCCAAAGCAAACAACAAGCCTTTCTACGTGGTCACTGAGTCTCATAAGTTCGTTAGATTGTTCCCCTTGGCACCAAACGACTTGCCCAGAGGCATTTCATCCATTCTAGACGAACAGGGCTCCGGTGAAACCGAAACATTGGAGGGTACCCTCAAGACCCAAACCATCGACTTCACGCCTCATGAATTCATCACTGCACTCATCACCGATTTGGGTGTTTTGACGCCGTCTGCGGTGTCCGAGGAGTTGATTAAGATGTGGTACGATTAAGACGCTGCGATTTCATTGAGCATTTGCTGAAGATGCTCCGGATCGTATCTGTCCTCATCTGCGCTCTCTCTTCTTATTTTAATGCATTGGATGTTCTTTCTCTCGAGGAACTCCTCGTCAACAGCGATTCTAGGGTTCTCCATGAACACAAGATGGGTGACGAAGTTGCACCACTTGAGATGTTGGTGCTCCTGGTGAGACTTGTCGAGTGAATAGTGAGCCAGCTTGATGATAGTCTCGATGTACTCAACAGCGGACATACCGTATGTCTCTCTATCTTCGCAGCCGTTCAATAAGAGTATACGCTTTTTGTCTGGCCTAAAGTCATAAGCGATCGCCTTGCCGATACCTTTCAATACCAAAATCGGCACAATGCTTGTCATGAGCGAGCCAATTGAGTACACAAGCGTCTTTGCGTTTGAAATGCTGTTGATGACTCGAGTCAGGGCCACTGGGCAGATCTCCTGGCCATGTGGACTGATATAAAAGATGCGCTCAATGGGTGAAAGAAGAGGCTCGATTCCTTCGGTTTTCTGGAAATGCAATTGGGACTTTTTGAGCTCGGGATGAGTGTACTGTGGGATATTCCCAAGCTCCTCGTCGTCAGATGAGAGCACAGATCCTTCGGACTGTGCCTCTATACTAGTATCAACATGACTGAAGAACTCGTTGTTTTCATGCGTAGGTGTAGGAGGTCTTGTCTTGTTGATTGGAGGTGGGTACACCTCGTCAGGCGAAGGGTGGGAGATCTGAGATTGACCTGTGATGATGAGACCGTTGATCAAAAGTGCACCAATGTGGTAGCTGAAGTTTGTACTGATACAGGGCATAACTTGAATGGAGTTGTCGATGCCGGTCAATTTCTTGAAGAGCTCGATGGCCGAATCCAAGGACCCTATGAATAGACGAATCCCTGTAAGAAACAAGTTCCCCACATTGGCCAACTCGTACCGGAACTTCTTGTTTGTGTTGCTTGTAACAGTCAACTTGGATCTTTTTAGAAGCTCCACGTGCAAGTGGATCAAAAATGCTCGAAGGATTTCTTTGGTGGCGCTATCGATATCCTTCCATAGGTGATGCGTTCCATCCACGATCTCATTCCACTGATTCTTTGCCTCCACCGGATCTGCCTCCAACCTGAAACTTAGCAACTTCTTAAGAGGTTCGTTCTCAGGAGGTATTAGTCTCGTGAGTCTCGACCGTATATCACCAATGGCTGGTCCTCCTATGACACGTATAATCTCTGAAGTGGAGCCTCCGTTGTCCAGAATGGGTAGAACATAAGTCACGTCGGCTGAAAGGGAATTGAAAACATGCACGATATCGTTTGTGGCTGTGCCGCCGCTGAACACCACCACTGAGTTGGACATGGAAAGAAACACGAGATAACAAGTCCGATGTTGGTGTACTGTATGAACCGATAAGGTGGAACACTGGGGCGATCGAATGAGGTGGGGTAGGAGTCTTTTTTTAGAAAATTGATATGGGTTGTAACAAGATGAGTTGGAGTTTGATTTGAGATGTGAAGGGTATGGGATTGTAATAATTGGGGCTCAGTTTATAAGAATTATGTTGTGGTTTTACTATCTTGTGGGTACTTCGCAGCCATTTCGTGCTTGAGCACTTCACCATGAATAGGTTGAAGAGTGTCAGTTTTGAGTCTCAATGACCTTTTTACAGGAATGGCTTCATTTTAGCGATAACAAAGAAGCTTCAGTCACCATGTCACCCAGAATCAAGTCATATGTGGTTTCTACAGTCGTGAGGACTTGTTGGTGAAGGGCTTCAAATTGGCCTGCTTCACAACAATGTCGAAAAATCACCATTACTTGTGAAACTCAGTAACTGAATTGGCCATTTAGGTTAATCCAAAGCTTTTCCGCCGGGCCAAAAAGGCCGGAGGTGTGCCTCTGGCGGTGTAAGCATTTGCACCCACGTCAATGCCCAACCAATGACTCTAATTTTTTTCAAAAAAGCTAATTTCATAAACTTCAGGACGGAAATTATCGCCTTTTATAATTTTTCGCTCCACCTGCTGCCACGCCCACCTATAGTGGCATCCCAGGGTGCCTCCCATACTTTCGGCAAAAGCAGTCACTGAGACAATGTGTAATGCCGAGACCGGAACAGGCGTAGCCCTGAGCACGGGGCCAAGCGCGGGCTCTCTAGGGTTCGGTCACGTGACGCATCAAATTTTTTTACTTCTCAATTTTGCACCCAATTTTTCCACTCCATCCCCACCACAGTATAGTAATGTCTGATCAGGAAGTTTTGGTTTTGAGAGGCACCCTTGAGGGCCACAACGGTTGGGTCACTTCGTTGGCCACCACCCAGTCCAAGCCCGACTTGCTCTTGTCCGGTTCCAGAGACAAGACCTTGATCGCTTGGAAGTTGACCGGTGACGAGGCCCAGTACGGTGTGCCAAAGAAGTCCTTCATTGGCCACTCCCACATTGTCCAGGACGTCACCATCTCTGTTGACGGTGCTTACGCTTTGTCTGGTTCTTGGGACAAGACCTTGAGATTGTGGGACTTGGAGACTGGTGAGTCCACCAAGAGATTCGACGGCCACACTGGTGACGTCTTGTCTGTTTCCATTGCCTCCAACTTGAGACAGATTGTGTCTGCTTCCCGTGACAAGACCGTCAAGGTCTGGAACACCATCGGTGAGTGCATGCACACCTTGTCTTCCCACAAGGACTGGGTCTCTGCCGTCAGATTTTCCCCAGACAACAAGACCAACACTGTGATCTCTGCTTCTTGGGACAAGACTGTCAAGGTATGTTTTTCCTTTTTTTTCCTCCGTGAGATGATGTTTCCATATTTGCTACTTCAGACGGTTCGCCGAATGAGACTTCTTAATCACCAAGATCTCTGATCCTCACATCTCTCTTTTTTCAACTTTTTACTAACAATTTCTAGTCCTGGGACTTGAACAAGTACGAGCTCAACGCCGACTTCATTGGCCACACCGGCTACATCTCCTGCATCACCATCTCCCCTGACGGATCCTTGAACGCTTCCGCTGGTAAGGACGGTGTCATCATCTTGTGGGACTTGAACTCCAACGAGACCTTGTACACCTTGAACGCCGCTTCTGAGGTCCACGCTTTGGCTTTCTCTCCAAACAGATACTGGTTGGCTGCTGCCACCGCTTCTGGTATCAAGATCTTCAACTTGCAGGAGAGAACCTTGTTGGACGAGTTGAAGCCTGAGTTCGCTGTCTCTGCTAAGGCTAAGGACCCAGAGGCCATTTCTTTGGCTTGGTCCGCTGACGGCCAGAACTTGTTCGCCGGTTACACCGACAACAAGATCAGAGTTTGGCAGGTTATGACCTCTTCCGCTTAAGAGGTCGGTTTGTAAATTTTAGTCAAATTAAAAATTTAAGTGCTTAATTAGTCGTAGTTTTAGGTGAAGAGGTTGAGCTTTCCGCTAGAGGTGCCTCCCACTACCCAGTTTTGAGATGGATGGAAGGCCACTGATGCCGGGACAGCGGTCATTTCTTCGTCATTGAGATGTGCAATCATGTTGCCACTCTCGTCGTAGACGTCTATACTGCGGTTCATGTTGGCAATGGCAAACTTCTGGTACTGATCAGCAGGGGTCTTTTGCCATTTGGCTTTGAGAATCGACACCCACCGCCCTGTCTGACAATTGTGGGTTATGGAATTGAAAGGTTTGAGGTTGTCGGGAATTGAATCAGTCTTCTTGCGAACCTCTGGTTGGTAGTTCTTAGCCCACTCTTGTACAGCAGTATAAGGCTTTCTGTTACCGCTGAAGTCAAAGAGCTTGATTCTATCATCATAGCCATTGCACACCAAGTGGTCGTTGCTGTTCCAGTCGACCGTAGAAATGGAGAGACGACTCGTGTATGATCCGTACAAATGGGGCGCTCTGGCCTTCTCGAACTCAGAGAGCGAGTTGGCTTTCGAGACGTTTCTCAAATCCCATACTCGTAAAGTTCTGTCCAACGACGCCGTTGCAATTTGATAGGACAAGTTCGGGCTCACGGTGAACCCGCCAATCTTTTTATCGTGCAACCGTAGGAAGTCATTGTTCTTCATGCCTTTAAATGGCAGACGCATGTCATGTTGGTAATAACGACCCTCTAGCGTGGTCAAATGCAACAAGTTTGGCTCGGCGAACAGAACGTTGATGTCTGATACTCCGATAAGGTCGTCGGAGACGTCAATGTTCAATACCTCCGTCGACTTGAGCTGCTTTATGTCGAGCTTCCTTACTGATCCATCGTAGGAGCTTGTCAAAAGCTCTGCCGCATTGGTGTGGTTGTGGATAATTTTGGAGATTGACCGTCCGTGGGGCTTCAAAATGGTGATCTGTGCCTCCCCATCCTCGGTGCTTTCATCCACCGACCAAAGACCAAGACTTCCGTTCGTGTCACCTGCCGAAACCAATCTATCAGTTTCAGCAGGGTGGAAGTGCATTGTCGTGATACGGTTATAGGATGCTTTGGTGGAAGCAGGGCTGACCTTACGGTAAAGCTCCACCTTCTCGAACTCCTTTCTGACCTTCTTTAAGTCCAGACTCTTTCCCTGCTCCCTTTGCTTGATCTGCTCAAAAAAGTCACCCGCTGAGTACTTCTCCCCAAGATTGAGCAAGAAGTCCAAGTTGTCTGAGTCCATATCCTCGTCCTTGATGTCCGGTTCCTCCACTTTGACCTCATCTGTGTCTTCATCCTTGACGGCATCCTCCATTGGCTCGTCTTTCACGTCCAAAACGCGTTCTTCGTGCTTGAGGTGGCCCAGCTGGCGATCAAGAATCAAATCACCAAGCGTGAAGTCGCCTGTGAGCTTCAACAGACGCAATGCCTTGAGCTTCTCCTGTCTTTCTCGAGCCCTCTCCTCTTCCAAATTAATCTTCTGCTCTTCTTCCGTCCACTCATGTGGTGCAGCTAGTCTCCTAGATCTTCTCGTGGGTATAGCAGGTTCCTTGGGTGGAGCCTTGGGTCTCCTCTTCGGTTTGGTCAGTTCCTTCTTGACGCGTACGTCATCTGCAATTGACTGGTTGAGAGCATCCAAATTGAGTTTCTTGAGCAAGCCCTGGTTTCTTTTGATATTCTCTCTTCGGAGCTTTTCCAAATCAGTCATGGCGTTATGGCCTTGCTATTTTCGCGATCAATGCGTAGGTGCGTAGTTAACGGCTCGTAATATATCAGCACAAAGATAGAGACTACCGCAAGCAACCACTTTTCTGTCGTCACCTTGAGCTTTGAGCCCTTTCAAATATGCGAAGAGTTCATCAGTGTTGCTGATACCGGTTTGCTCCAATTCAGCATACTTTTTAGCCTCTTGACCCACGTACTCTCCACTGTAGCTGTGGACCCAGGGCATGCCTTCGGGTTGCAGGAACTCCATAGGAATGATTGTATCTCCCGGTTTGACAATATGCTTGAGAAGGTTCTCGACGGATTTGCCTTTTGTAAGTGCAACCACGAAGATAATGCCTTTACCCTCTCTGTAGCCATCGAGGAATCCTGCCAACTCAATGGCAGCGCTTTCGTTATGGGCACCATCGATTAGTAGCTCAATGCCAGTTTTTGGTTCCTTGATCGTCTGAAGCCTTCCTGGCCAGGTGGTGTTCTTGATACCTCTCTTGATCGCCTCATCGCTGATCTGAAAAGAGTGTTTCTCTTTGAGCAAAGAGACGATTTCCAAAGCCACCGCCAAGTTCTGCTCTTGGTAGTTACCCTTCAATGGCGAAAGCTCGATGAGCCTTCTCGTCAAAGAGGTGGATGTGACTTCATGTAATGGAGAGCCCTCTTCGCTTGCCTTGGCCCGGATCGCTTCCATTGCGTCTCTGTGATTTGTCAGATCAACCACGCAGTCAACTCCCTTTTTTATGATTCCTGCCTTTTCACTGGCGATCTGAGAAATGGTGCTTCCAAGAAACGACTCATGGTCTATGCCCACTTTTGTGATTCCGCTCACGAGTACGTCGTCTTCAGTAAGAACATTGGTAGCGTCAAGCCTGCCCCCAAGGCCCACCTCCACAAGAGCCAATTCCAATTGCTCCATGGCAAAAATCATGAATGCTGTGCACGTCAAGATCTCGAATTCCGTGCATCCGATGCCATTGTGATCATTGTGTTCCTGAACCTGCTTCTTCACCTTTTTGAAATCGTCCATGGGAAGAATGTTTCTGTTGATGGAGATACAGTCATTCACCAGCATGGTATGTGGGGATGTGAAGCGACCATGACGTATATTGGCCTCACTGAGTATGGACGATAGATAAGCTAAAGTGGAGCCTTTCCCGTTGGTACCAGCCACATGTACACACCTAATCCTGCGTAGATTAGGAAGAAGGTCGAGAAGTTTTCGTACCCTGCTGAGGCCTAGCTCTATAGACATGGTAGTTGTAGTGCGAATCATGTACATCTAAATCTACATCTACATATATCAACAACTCCGAAAATGTCCCAGGATAACGGCTTCATACAAAAGAGACTAGATTCGCTCAATGAGATCGACAACAATATCGTTACCTTACTTGATAATATCGGTTCGGTTTTCAATGCATATGTTGAACCCAGCACACTGGAGGTGCAAGATCTCACCAAGACCAAAGAGAAGTTTGTCGAGGGCACTAAGCTGATATATCTGCTTCTAGGCAGCATAGCTATTGGACTTCGAAAGGAGGTGAAGATTATGGACGAGAATATTGGTGTCTACGACAAAAATGAAGAGAATGTCATGATATTGCCTATTAGTGTTGACCAAAAGCATACTACGCTAGGGCGTGACAGACTAGAAAAGGAGGTGAGAAACATGGAACAGCTTGTTGGACGCTTCCCGGAAGGCTCCTCTACGAAGGAGGAAGAAAAACCAAAGGAGGATGATGCAATGGACATTTCTGACTTACCTGAGCCTAAAGCTGAGGAGCCAACAGAGAAGAAGGAACCAGCAGAGCCCGGAGAGCCTGCTGATATCACGATAGACTAATCTAGTCGAATTCTAAATATGCATTAACTTATATCTGCTCAAGGTACCCCTGTTGGATCAAGCGGTCCACGTCTGACTTCCTCACATAGAACTGGGAATCCTTGATGAGATTGAACACTCCATATTCTGTCTGCACTTCACCGCCGTCTTTGAGCACACGAACGTCAATGAAGATGTCGGTGGGCGGTTCGAGGTCGCCAGAAAGGTCTATATCTGCAAATGACGACTTGAAGTCGAGAATGAGGTCCTGGTATTGTTTGTAGTACTCCTGCTCAGGATTCAGGAGATTATCTAGTGCTAGCTTTGTGGTACCCATAGAATGAAGTAGAGACTCTCCCTTCGACCCTGCCGGCGTGGCGTCCGTTGACGAAACAGGGTCAACGTTGAGCCACAGAAACTCGTTGATCTTGTCAGCTCGTAGCTTTTGATGAGCTAGTAAGCACCGCTTATTTCTTCTCATGAATAACAGTCGAACAAATATCTGACACTGTGCGATTCTTCTTTCCTCTTCCGATGCATCTGCTGGAAAGAGCTCTTGCTCGTTGAGAAAGTCAACATCGCTTTTGAGGTCTGAGATTTCCAGGACAATATCCTTGACCAAATCTAGCTGGTACAAGGGTACCTCTGCAAGGTTCGACGTTCTCTTGGCGTCTAGAAGGAGCTTGTGGCCCTGATCGCCATACATGTTTGGAGTAGTAGCTGAACGCGGTGAGCTGCGTTTGGTGTAGTACGCGAGATATACTCATGGCACGAAATTCAGAAACGGGTTTAGATTTGGTGGAACTGAGGGGAAGCTTTGAACATTGATCTGTTTCAGTCAATTCTGTCTTGCCTCATTGTGTTTTGATAGAATAATTGATTTATGTGGACATTCTTACTTTTAGGAATTGGTTGCAAAATCGCGTTGCACTTGCAAACACTGAAGTCCTTACCACCTTTACGACTTCATGGTGAAAACAAAAACAATAGAAAAATCCGAAAAAGCAAGAACTCTTCAAAACACAGCTCATCAAGAATTTGCTCTAAATCCCTGAAGAAATCATAATTCATCAATTACGCCGCCATCGTCTCTTCACCGTATCAGCTTGGTCTCTGCGACCTGTACATGTAGCACCACATCAACTACCATGTCTTTTGACATCAATTGGGATAAGCTTGTGGAGGACAATTCCATAAATGAGTCCATACGTGAGTTCCTTGATAGACAGCTAAATCAGCTTCTGCTTCCTTCCTACATTGACAATCTCACGGTTACCGAGTTCTCGTTGGGTTCTAAAGCTCCAGAACTCACGATACGACATGTGGGGGACCCCTTTGACGAGTTCTATGAAGAAGGCTCAGACAACGAAGAGGAAAAGAACCCCATGCTGCCGGCAATGAGCGATCTGGACACAGAATCTGACGATAGTGAATATGGCTACGATGGACATACGACTCTCAATGAAACAGGCCTACGAGAGACACTTAGAGACATTCCACCTTCTCCACCGCCAATGCCACATGATCCTCGAGACATTTTGAAAAACTTCCACGCATACTCCATGAACAATGTTGGACTCACCCACATTTCACTGATGAATGAGTCCGAGACACCAACCAACATATTTGCACAGAATCCACTTCGTCCTGCAATCACCCTGGGTCAGAAAGCAGTCAAAAGAGATAGCAATGATTTGCAAAGCATTATTGAAATAGACTACGAGGGAGACCTGACGATGGAGGTAACCGTGAACTTACTTGTGAACTACCCTTCTGCCCTGTTCATTACGCTACCGATCAAACTTCACATTACAGACTTGGTCATTCACTCCTTGGCAGCGGTAGCATACCTCAAAAAGAGCATCTTTGTTTCCTTCTTGTGTGATCTAAACGATACGAAATCGGAATATTTCGCCAAGTCTAACGCTGGCACGGAAAGATCTTCAAACACACCATCCGCAGGAGGCAACTTTGTCGACTACTCGTCGCCTATAAATCATGAGCGTATCGACGTCATCAAGTCAGTCAAGATTGAATCTGAAATAGGCGAGCTTGGCAATAATGTGCTTAGAAATGTGGGAAAGGTGGAGCGTTTCTTAGTCGACCAGCTACGCAGAATAATACGTGAAGAGATAGCATGGCCCAGTTGGGTCTGCTTCGATCTCAATGAGGACTCTGATGAAGAGGATGAGGAGGATTCCGAAGAGGAAGCTCCTTTAGATGCCGAGACATAATACACAGAATTAATAATGCTTATATTTGTAATTTCGTTACATGAGCGTGGTGCGGCCTCCAACTTCGTTACTGGCACTTCCATCAGGCATCGTACCGTCTCTTCCAGTCAAGAACTGTGTGTAGACACGCTGGAGTTTCTTCTTCTCAGAAGCAGAAATCGAGGGCTTTGTTTCTTTCAAACTCTCGATGAAATGTTGTTGCGTGAGAACAACCTTGGAGTTCTCCTTGCTCTCTGACGTCTTATCAGTCTTCTTCGCATTGGTATCCTCTTCGAACAACTTCTCAATCTGCTGAAGGACCTTGACCTTTTCAGCAGGTCTAATTTTTTGATTTTTGAGCTTCTCGGAGTTAACCTGGAAGAAATCGAAGGATTTTTCGTCTTTGCTTGTGTCAACGGTGAGAGCCTCGTTAGCAGCCAACTTCTCGTGGACAGCCTTAAGGTAGGCATTGTAGCCCAAACCTTGCATGTCGGCACCACTGAAACCGCCTGTCTTCTCGGCAATGTCTTCGAGGTTCACATCCTTGTTCAAGTCCATCTTTGCACTGATACATTTCAAAATGTCGAGTCTGTCATCGAAATTTGGCATGTCGCAAATGATACTCTTATCAAGACGACCTGGACGTAACAACGCCGAATCAATCAAATCCGGTCTACTTGTAGCAGCCAAGACGTAGACACCATCGAGACCTTCAGCACCATCCATTTGCGTCAACATCTGGTTAACAACTCTATCCGTGACACCTGTGGAGTCATGACCTCTCTTTGGAGCAATCGAATCGAATTCATCGAAGAAAAGAATGCAAGGTTTGGCCGACTGAGCACGTTCGAAGAGCTCTCTAACCGACTGTTCAGATGCACCGATGTATTTGTTTAAAATTTCGGGACCCTTGATGGAAATGAAATTAAGTCCACATTGGCCTGCAATGGCACTGGCAAGTAATGTCTTACCACAACCAGGATAACCGTAAAGTAAGATACCAGATCTCAAACGCAAGGGACAGTTGGCAAAAATAGGTGCATATTTTGTGGGCCACTCCAAAGTCTCTAAGAGCACACGCTTCGCTTCGGTTAAGCCACCAATGTCTGCCCAGCTGGTTGATGATTTTTGCAACTTCACGCCTCTTAAGTTGGAAGGCATGAATCCCAGAAGGGCCTTCTCAAAAGAAGCTTTATCAACTGTGTACTGGTCTTTTTGCTCAGACGATGCAGCATTGAACAAGCTTTCATGGAAGATACGATCACTCAAGAGCTTCAAGTCGTTAGGTAGGTAACCCTCTGTTTCAGAGACAATGTCCATAAGGTCAAATGTAACTTTGCAGCCAAGCTTCTTGATCAAGTACTCTTCCAAAATGGTAGCACGAGCGGCTTTTTGTGGTGGACTCAAGTGGTGGTAGGATTCGATGAGATGCATCATACCAAGAAGCTTATTGAAGGCCTCCTTGGAAATACCCGACACGATCAAGGAAAGATTGGTATTGTTTTGAGAGTGAATTTTTTGGATTTGAGTAATGAGGAATTCGGAAAGTTGGTTTGACAAGGTGGAGTCGCCTTGCTCGACCTCAGCTGATAAGACCTTGTCAAGGTTATCTAAGATCAAGACAGCGGGATCATTCCACGAACAGTCCTGAATCCACTTTGTGAAGTTTGCACTAAGCTGATCATAGTTTTCATTCATAAAACTCTCGCAAGAAACGAGTTTGGTGTGAACTCCATGGTCCTGGCCGAGCTTTCGAGCAATCCATTTGAGTAGTAACGTTTTGCCACTGCCAGAGGTGCCATGAAGCATAATGCCCGAATTGGGGAAGGTCGTCACGTAGTCCACGATTTCTTCGATGACATCATTTGAGCCATAAACCTCTTCAAGGGTTTCAGGCTCCTCAGATTCCAAAAATGACGCGCTCCGCAACACCTCCTCGCCAAGCTCTAGCTTTGGTGGCGTTCTTGAACCTTTGAGCTCGTATGGTTTGATCCAGGCGTGCGTATCGCTGTTCTTCTTGAACTCTATAATGGCCCCGAGCGGAAGAATGGCGGGGATTGGCGGTATTTTCAGGAAGTTCGTGATTGGAGATCTCGTGATGGACACCTCTGGGTCGAACAAGATCTTGGTGATGTTTTGTGCAAGTGCTTGGTTCTTTTGTGCTTTTGTTGATGAGTTGAGCTGGATGGAATCCGTCTTTTTGGTTTGGGTGATGTATGGGTGAATTATTATCGTGGATGGACGCTTGGCAACGTGCTTTGGGGCCAGCCTGACGGCAACCTTGAAACCGATTTTGTGCTCCACATTGAGAGCACAGGCCAATTTTTGACTGAGTCCCACTGTGTTGGCGGGGCATTTGGGCGAGTTGACCAACTTGGCGATAATTGTTTTGTTTTCGGTGGCCTTGACACTTTGCTTGTCTTTTTTCTTCTCGTCCAGCGGCTGCTCGTCAGCAGGAGCAGCGTTGAATTTTGTATCTGGACCTGGTAGGACAGAGACAGTGACGTATTCAGCGCGGTTGAAAGCATGAAGAACTTCCTCGAAGTTGACGAAAAGGGTGTATCCGTCATCGCTTTCCTTAAATAACTGGTTCGGAAGTGAAATACCTCTCTTCAACACCGTAGGGCCCAAGGAAACCTCATCCACGGTCAGTCTTGACGACCTGCCTGACTTGACCGACTGGGACGAGGATCTCTTTTTCTCTCTCAACTTTGGAGCAATGCTGATTTCAGCGTAAGGGTCTATAATAGCGTAGGTGTGTTCAGTCGAGCCGATATCCTTGACTTGAAGTTTCACGGAAGACGTTTTCGTTGGGTAGACCACCAAAACCTGGCCGACAGCCACACATCTCGACTGTTCAATCAACTTTGACTCGATGTACGCCGCGTGGAGCTCCACAAGCTCCCAGTCCGAAGAGTGTTCAGGTTCCAAGAAGATGGAGGAAGCCTTAAAGTTTCTGATCTTGACATTCACAGTGACAAGCTGCTTTTCAGCCAAGCGCAACGACTGCGCCAAGATAGAGTCTATGCCCAAGTTTCGAGCACCTCCAGCGCTCATTCCAGACCAGCCCACATAGCACTTGTTTTGAGCCTGAGTAACGAGTTCGACCACCACCTCTTGAGGCGAAACATTGGCGTTATAAAGCAACGACAGCAAATTGGCGGGCAAATCCACCAAGTTGTTCCACAGCTGGCGGAACACGATGTTGGCAGCGGAGCCTTCCATGGTAGTATGTGTGGATTGGAAGAAGTGGTTGATGAAAACTGGGGAAGTCTTTCACACGCAGTGCAGGACCGAGGTCGAGACGGTGGAGGACAAAGGGTATGGGAGGGAGATAAAGGCTAGTGTTTTTTGGGTAATTACGGATGGTACGTTGGAACTGTTCATTGGAGAGAGCTGATTCTGGTATTATTTTTTGTTCAGATATAGTGAAGAGCTGTTTTTGAGTTGACTAGGTGGATGGTCTGTGATTCATCATGGCTGCGAAAGTTTGTGGGGGAGCATATGGTGAGAAGGCATTCTGGTTTGATGGAAAGAAGTCGGTGTTTTTGGACTAATTTAGCAAGAGGGAATTGATGGGGTTCTTTTACTTTTTGAATTTAGTATATAATTGGTCCCGTTATTGGAGGTTTGTGGGGTATCGTTATGACTGATAGGTGACGCACATGGACTGCTTCGAGGCAGGCCTCGGACATAGTGGGGCAGCCTGTTTGCAACCATTTTTCAACGGAGCTGAAGGATGTACGGTTGGAACCGAATTGAGGTTTTGGGAGAGATTTAGAACCTAGTGTTGTTTTAACTATTTTAATTGATTCTGAATTGACGGTAAAAATGTTTACGGAAATTTGGCATTGACTCCGGAGCTACTAAACTATGATGTTAGCGAAAGCCATAGAGTATTAATGAAAAGAAACATAATAATTACATGAATATGACTTCTAGGAGAGCTCCGGTTGGTAGCACAACCAAAAACGCATTCTACAATATGGCCGTTTGTCGACTTCACATGGAAGTCACACTTTGTTCTCTTTCCGCGTTATGTATTTGGTGAGGGTTGACTTCTCTTAACTGTCTATGTACAAATGCCAGAAGCCATACCTCGTTGGTAGCTCCAAACGTCTGATGCAATCTTTCATGAAAACGTAAGCAAGAGTTGAATGTGTGTATCCACTTCTGGCTCATCACTTCCGCTGAGTCTCATTGAACTTCTCCAAGGCATCGTCATTCTCCTGTCTGTCGTCAATCTTGCTCTGCATCCTAGCCTGGTTGGCCTGTTTAGCCTTCTCGACATTCTGGAAAGATCTTCTTCGTATCGACCGGCACTGCTCGAATCCAATCACAGATCCAAGGAAAAAGCCTCCAATTCCAATATTCACTGATCTGCCAGGACTCTTGTGAATCAAGAGGGTCACCACACCCAAAACACCCATGGCAGAGAAACCCGTGAGCATGGCTTCCCTAAAACATGGCATTGTGACATAGTTGTCTATGGTGAAGTCACTAAGACTGATCTTGTTGATGGCTGCAAGGTAGGTAGCCTCATCTGGACGCTTTGTTTCGTTATCCTCAAACTTTGGAGGTAAGTCCTCAAGAAACGTTTCTTCTTTCTTTTCAGGTACTTCGCTAACAGCAGAAACCCTTGAAGGCGAGCCTCCAAACCACCCCATCTTGGTTGTGTAGGCTTGATGTAATGCGCTCACACCGATGAGTGCCACTAGATTTCAGCACGTGATGCCAACATGATACAAAAATGGCTTGCGGTCGTTTGATTGCTGATAGATGGGTTTTGAAAAGAAAAAAAATATGTGTCTAAAGAGATTTTATGAATGTGGTGAATTCGGCAAAAAAACTAGCGCAGCCAGGTTTCGATCCTGGGACATCAGGGTTATGAGCCCTGCGCGCTTCCACTGCGCCACTGCGCTTGCTAGTTGTGGTAAAGTAGTGCTGGTATAATATATACCCTAAAATACAGGTGCTATCATTTTGATGAGATTTGACTATTTGAATTTGTTTCAATCATGTGTAGTGGCATACACACGAAATCTGAGCCGTTTTGGGCCAAATTTAAGAGATTTATCGCCTTTTTATCAAATAGCTTCATGAAGTAACCTACAATGCCACAATTCTTGAAATAGTAAGAAATAATGAGAGAGAAGCTTCATGATGAGGGTCAATATGGTTAGAAAGATGTAAGTTCATCGTTCATAATTTCCTTAGAGATGTAGGGTAGCGAAGCGCCCCGAGAAAAATATGTTAAGTGGTTTACTATGTAGGTCTTAAAACTATAGAGGTTTTGTTGGAGGAAGAAATTCTTTCTGGCGTCAATGTTTAATGCTCATCTTTGACAAATACAGAAGTGATAATCTTGAGGATGAATGAGCTTTGAAGGTATCTCTCGAATTATCTACTGTATCTGAAGTCCAGACATCGATCAACATGCAGTTGATGATACAAAGGGAGACTTGTTACCCAGCACCCTCCTCATTCGAGTATGACTTTCATACATAAACGCTTATTGAGAAGCCAAGTGTAACAAACGTGATGAAATAATTCTGCAGACCATCACTTCATCGGCGTTTCCGCTTGATTACCTTAATTGCACGCAATGTGCATGTCAAACTTTCCCTATTTGATACTGATGGTCATTCAATGCTCGTATTTTCTAGCGATGACACCTCTAGGCGGCCAGCACAATAGCAAGATATCACTCTTGATAGACTTTCTATTTGTCTCGAAAGAATAGCTACGGACCACCACCCTTTTTTGATGATAATCCCTAGTCGCAGAGCCAAGTCCCAGGTTGAGGCTCCCCGAGAAACGTTGACCACAATTTTCCAGATCCGGAACCTTGGAACAAATTTCTCACGTCAATTGGATGCCATTGTGGAGGCTGTGGACAAGCAGATCTTTTCGTTCCGGACATTGGGCTTGTTGATCCAAGGCGAGCATCATCAAGTTACAGAGCTTGTCGTGAAAAACTCAGAGATGGCTAAAGACCCTGACCTGAAAATCCTTATTGAAAAAGCTCGAATGAAAAACGGTGTTAACAGCTTTGGGGCCGGACCGGATTTTGGAAATCCCTTGCTTGTTTTTGAAGTACTCCACATGTACCACACCTTTGACTGGTCCAATCTCGAAATGCCTATGCCAATAGTAGCCAGGTGCCTCATAGCTGTTGGAGAAGAGAGGCAGCTATTTCCGGGCCCAAAATTCCCAATGTCGCATCAGCTTCATGGGTTTGGGTCCGAAATGGACATGGGCACAACTCATAATATCGCAAGGAGCGGTAGAAGACTTGAATTCAGAGCTGAATTTAAGCAAGCTACATGGATTCACCAAGAGGCATACTTTCGAATTGTGGTTCCAGGGATGTACGTGCCGAGCTTCCTTCCGTTGAGCTTACAGATCCTCGGTGAACGGAGCTCGGATAACATGCTCAAGGAGCGATTTCACTTGACGAAGATCCGTGTTGACTTGCTAGAATTTAGTTGCGTGCCAAGTAAATATACTGAAGCGACAGACACCCGGAGCATGGTGTTAGTTGAGAAGGAAACATCCATGGAGATCAATTCCTTGAACAGCAAAATTATGATACCTCCGACAATGTATGACTGTGTGATTCCACAGGTTGGTCCTACGTTCTTCATTGGGGGGTTCACTAGAACATATGGATTGAAACTCACGTTATCGATTTGCAACAAGAGAGGTCCCCGATTCAATGTGTCTGCGTTTATCGAACTTCACGTGGCGCAGAGGAGGTATGAACGGATCCACGAGCAGGACGTTCATAAACCGCTTTGGCACTTCTTAGGGTGCAACGAGGACGAGGATGCCAGAGACCAGGATCATTTCATGAAGAGTTTACGAGATCTCGAGTCGAATGATGCTTGTTTGTCATCCTTCAGCCGCGAGTTTGCTTCGGATGAAGCAACTGATAAATTTCAACGATACTTCTTTCTGATGCATCAACAAGGTGGAAAAGGTTGCTTCGTAGTGTCAGCCGATGATATGAGCAATGATTCACCGACTCTCAATAACAGCACCGGTGTAAAGGAAACCAGTCTCTGCCAAAGTGCATCGTCGAAGATATACGAATGGCTCAGAAGCCATATTTCCGGGACAAGTCAGAAGTGTCTTTGCCCTTGTTGGGAGACCAGGATGATTGATCTGCCTACTTTTGGGACTGGCTCGGGCTTCGATAAGCCACACTGTGCCACATGTATCGTGGTTGATGGTCATGTCATTGAAGCAAACTCGCCGAAACCTTTCACGCGAGGAAAAACGCTAATCCCATACCCATCGTATCCTTTTGGCAAAGAAAACATCCCACTCTCTTTTCGGGTTTCATTAAGTGAGAACACTCAATTTTACCAATCAAGGGAAGGAACCTTTGACGGTATCGCTAGCCCCGGAATGGAACTAAGCCAATTCGTCCGGATTACACTTATCGTTGCCCAGGGCTTCAAAGAAGCAAGCCAATATCGACAAGTGGATGACATGGAAATTTGTCTTGAACGGATCGAAATCATATTAGAGGAGGAGAGGGTGGAGGAAATTGAATTCTTTCTGGAGAAAATCCCCTTACTTGATGATCGCAAATCACGGTTCATAAGATGGAGCGAGTTTAAAGATGCCGTTGCCGGCAGTCAACATGCTCGTGCATTGACGTTACCTCCACATTTTTTCCGATGCAAGATTCCTAACCACTTGAGGCACTTCATCATATGTACTCAGATGTACTACTCTCGAGGCCATCGTTTGATTTGCAGATTGCACGTCTGCCTTCTGGGGCGGAGAGATACCTTCGAGTGGAGTCTCCACCTTCACCTCACGACACGAGATACAGTCGGGCATTGATATGTTTCTGTGAAATAATGGATGAAATGAGAAGTTGTGGCCTACGCTTTATAGGACTGTGAGGTTTAGAGAATAAGGGTCGTAGCCCAATCGGGGTATCGTTCATGACTGTTAGAGTTCTTTGGACACGCGTATGCCCCAATGAATGTGCTCATACTAGGTAATAGTTGCTAGACGTCGAAAGGAGATCCTAGAGTCTAGTATTCAAAAAGGTTGTGAAAAGGAGCGGACTTCTTACCGAGTGGTCAATCAAATAGCCACCTTAGATCTAGGTATTTCTGACGACCATCTTAGTCCAGCTTAGGCCGCCCTTTTGAAAAAGAATTCTTCTTGATCAGGTTCTTATTTGGCTTAAGGAATACATTTGTTGGGACCTTCGGCTCATAGATCAACGAAGAGTGTTGACAGAGTAGGTCTGCTGCGTTGTGTGGGGCACACTGGATCAGTTTTTGAACCTTTTACCTGGATTTATGGATACTTTGAGCACCTTTCAGGCCTCAATGACTGTTTGCAAGCAATGGGATCATTTATGGTGCTCTCTTTATCTTCGGTGGTTGTGTGAGCGACTCGCGAAATGGTTGCAAAACCACTTTGACCTACTTTCTACCGCAGGCACAAAGTCAGTATTCGACTATTAGGAGTTCTAAATCGAGATTTAGATTCTAATTGTTGAATATTGACAACGGCCGAACCTATTAGAACAACTAGAAAGCACCTCAAGCGCTACAACCAAATCTTCGCAAGTCCTTTTGCTTGTGAAGCCCACAAAGAATCGAATGAGCCAGCACTCAAGATCTGAACACAAAGGTTCGAGACTGATAGTACCTCATCTGAGTATATCAGAACCATCAGATGGCGAGTTTGTTCAGGGGCATCCTTCGAAAGAAGGAGCCTCACTGCTGTCAACTCGTGGCAGGGACGAAGCCAGTTTTATCCAGAGTGAGATTCACGACTTCCGCCTGTTACATGTGACTTCTTAATGTTTCGAATCTCTGACGGTGATTGCCAAACCTCATCAACAAGTCCCTCTTTGATGCACATGTAGAGAACGGATGCCCCTGCGAGAAAGTGCTACATATCTTATAGAATAATACATTTCGCTAAAGAAGAAAAAAAAAAAAAAAAAAAAAAAAAAAAAAAAACAAACTGCCCTATAAAAAAAAAAAAAAAAAAAAAAAA